GGCAAATCCCTGCCTGCCCCCACCAAGGCAGTGTGAGCGGGGGGGGGCAAGAGACTCCAGCCAGGACCTTGCAGAGCTGAGTCCCAGCAGCAACCCTGGCACAGCCTCAGCATCCAGCACCTCTGGGGGGCTTCAACCCCCTGACCTCAGTGGGGTGGGTCAGCCAGCACAGCTCATCCTGGGACACCCCCAGCAGAGCATGGGCATCACTACACATCGACCCTCCCGCCCAGCGCCCGTCCAGCCTCGCCTTGCACCCTCCCGTGCTGCACCATCCCCCAGTCTATTTAGACTAGACATCAAGAGGCAACTTCATGGTCAGGGTGGCTAGGGTCTGGAACCAACTTCCAAGAGAAGTGGTGCTGGCTCCTACCCTGGGGGTCTTTAAGAGGAGGTTGGATGAACACCTTGCTGGGGATCTTTGAGCCCTGTAATCTTTCCTGCCATGGCAGGGGGTCGGACTAGATGATCTACTCAGGTCCCTTCCGACCCTAGAAACTATGAAACTGTGACTCTGGGGTCACCCTGCAGCTGCCATGCTCGGGCCGTGCAGAGGTGTCTCTTGAGATCCAACTTCAACCTGCCTGGCTGCAGCCTCCAGCCCTGCCCCTCACGGCCCCCCCGTGCTCTCTGGGCACCTGCTCTGGGCGGCAGGAGAGAAGCTGCTCTCCCTCCTCTCTGCGCAGCCCCCAGGTCACCCCTGCAGCCCTTTCCCCCCAGCAGAACGTGCCCGGCTCCCTCGGCCTCTCCCTGCAGGACTTGCCCTTGACCTCCATTACCACCTCTGCCCCCTCCAGCTTCCCCACAGGCTTGTTACTGCACAGAGCTGGAGCTGCCCCCAGTGTTCTGGTCGGGCCTGGCCAGCGTGGAGCAGAGGCACCATCACCTCTTGCGGCTGCTGCCCCTGGACCCCAGAGCCGCTGGCCCCGGCGGCTGGGGTTATAACGGGTCGCTCAGCATTGCTCACCATGGGCACGGGGGCCGGGGCGCAGCGGAAGTCCCAGTAGAAGGGCAGCCCTGAGAGCTCGCTCCTGATGCGCAGCGTGAGGTGCCCGGCGTCCCGGTGCCAGGAGACGGCGGTGCCGGCACTGGCTCGGCTCTCCAGCAGCGAGCACAGCAGGTCCTGCAGGCGGGCGAGGAGGGACTGGGTGCGGGCCATCAGCCGCCGATTCAGCTCCTGGGAAGGAGACGTCAGCGGGAGCCAGGGTCCTCAGCCCCGCGCCCCCCCTCCCAGCACCATGCGCGGGGTGGTGGCACCAGCCCCTCGTATCCAGCTCCGAGTGTGGGGGCCGTTGTGAGCCGCGCCGCAGGCCTGCGCCCAGGACATCGCCCCGTGACGCTCACACGGGGGCAGCGCCGGGGCACGCGGCCGACATCCCACGAGGACGCGGCGGCAGGACAGGCGAACCCAGGCCCGGGGCACACGCACCTGCGACCTCTGGGCCACCGCCGTGGCCTCCAGGTGCTCGAACCAGGCGCCGTCCAGGTCGCAGAGCAGCAGGGCGTAGCCGGCGGCGCCGAAGCAGGCCTTGGCCAGGACGGTGGGCGCCTCGGGCAGGCGCAGCGAGCACCAGGGCTGGGCCAAGAGGCCGCTCTCCACGTCCGCCGCAACCGCCATCCTGTGTGCGGGGCTGGGGTCAGCGCCGGGGCGAGGCGGGGAGGGCGCCCCCCCAACCCCTGCCACCAGTGCATGTGACCCGCAGCCGGGAGACCTCCAAGCAGGGGCGGTGGACGGGGCGCTGACCCCCCGCCCCCCAACCCCGGGGCCCTTCAGCTGCTGGGGGCTCACCCCCCATTCCCTGCAAGGGGCAATTGGGGGGAGGTGAGGGGGGTCAAGTAAAGTCCCCGCCCCAACCTACCTCACGTCGTTTCCGCGACGGCCCGCGGGGAGGGAGGAGCCTCCGGCCCCGCCCCGCGCGCGGCCCTCGCCGGCCGCCGTCGTTGTCATGGAGACGCGTCCCGTCGCCGCGGAGCAAGAAGAGGGCGGAAGCCCCACCCCCCTCACCCTGCCGAGCCGCGCTCACCCCGCCGCAACGCGGGTAGCGGCGGGGCCCGAGGGTCTTAAGGGAGGGCTGAGTTGGGCGGGGTCCCAAGGGACGGGACCAAGGGGGGGTTGAGGGATGGGGGCA